AAAGCCAGAAGCCTTTTGTACTAAGCAGATCAATCTTGCCTTGAGAATTTTCTTGGATAGAAAACGTCACTTTGTTTTCTAAATTTACAATAGGTTCAAGAAAGCTAATCTTAGTTATCTTACCACAACTTATATTATCATGCAGCTACAACAATAACCTGCAGTTCAATAGCAAAGAAGTCATAAAACCAAGAGAGTGTGATTTCAAGCAACACCTTGTTCCTTTTCATCCTTGATTCCATTTTTTGCATCAATGTCAATGGTCAACAGAAACTTGCTAAATTGGTGATGCCAGCTCAAGGTGGAGAGCATCTTCGAGCTCACACAGTACATACCCCATTAGTGGTCTGTTTGTGCGACTCTCTTCTAAGCACTTCCATGACAACTTTGATATTTTGCTCAGGGAATCCAAATTCACTTCCCCTATCAAATTTAGGTCAATAATCTCATGAAAGGTGCCCTTTTCTTGGCAGGTTGATGTCTATCTTGCCAAATTAATATGCTATGTTGGATGTGTATCATCTAAAGCAAGCTTCCCACAGATAACTTCCATCAGAACCATCCCAAATGAGGTGTATATTTCACTTTAAATTAAATCACGTTCACTAGATGTACTATATATTCATAAATATTATGTTGAGAATTTATAAATATCGTGTTGTGTATATATAGATATGCCCTTGAGACAAGGGCAATTGCGTCTTTTGATTTACAACAAAATTTATAAGAAGAGCCCTCAAGCCTACAATGAGTTTTCAAATTCTATTGAGCTTGCAGTGCAAACTTTTGTATTTTAGAGGCTCTGAGTGAGATTTTTTGTATTTATATTTTGTTGCACAATAATGTCATTAACAAAAAATATATTAAAACCCCAACTCTAGTGAACGTATCAACTTAATTGGGAGGTGTTTATTTATGGCTTTCAACTCGGACCTCAGTTGTTGGCGAAGACCACTTGTGCTTAAAAGAAAAATATATTAAAATATTTGCCACAATATTTTAATTATTTTTTAAATATATTGAATAAAAATAATGTTTTATACAATATTATTTTTAAAATAGTTTATTTTAATACTATACCGTTATTTACATTAATTTTAATGGTTCAAGACAACATTAATTAGTAAAATAAATTAACAATATAGAGAAAGTTGAAAGAAACTCTGACAGATCAATTATATTTCTGATGTGTGCGCTGAATCTTAGGAGATGATTAAAAAGCTGGAGGTCTAACACTAGAAACATAAACACAAACAAGATGAAATAAACCACCCCTAAGCCTGTACCAAGCAGGCAAGTGCCAACACTATCCTCTTTGGATGAAGAACATGCCAACTTCAACTTCAAGTCCCTAACCAGAGAGGATGAGATTTTTAGCAAATTCTTGTTCCTTTTCGTCCTTGATTCCATTTTTTGCAACCACATCAATTGTACAATCCACAGAAACTTGCTGAATTGGCGAAGCCAACTCAATGTGGAGAGCATCTTCGAGCTCGCACAATACATACGCCATTGGTGGTCTATTTGTGCGGCTCTCCTCTAAGCACTTCCCAGCCAACTCGCTGTTTAGAGAATCTAAGTTCACTTTCCCCGTCAAATTTGGGTCTATAATCTCATGAAAGGTGTCCTTGTCTTGGCAGCTTGATGCCCATCTTGCCAAATTAATATGTTCTGTTGCACGAGTGTCATCTAAAGCAGGCTTGCCACAGATAACTTCCATCAGAAACATCCCAAATGAGAACACATCTGATTTCTCTGTGAGATATTTTGTTCTGAAATACTCAGGATCTAGATAACCAAAGCTAGCCTTTACAAGGGTTGTTACATGGCTCTTATCAAGAGACGGACCTTTTCTTGAGATTCCAGAATCAGCGACTTTTGGAACAAAATTCTCATTGAAGAGAATATTTGCTGTATTAACATCACGATGGATATGCCTTGAGCGGCCCCTGTGTGCAGGTAATGAAGACCTTCGCAATCCCAATGCATATTTCTAGTCGTTGCTTCCATGATAGAGGAAGAAAGTTTGTCCCACACAGATGGCCACTTAATGATCCATTCACCAAGAATTCGTAGACTAGAATCATTTGTGTGTCTGCATTACAATAGCCTATCAGAAAGACAAGATTCTTATGACATAGCTTGGATAGCAATTCAATCTCATTCTGAAATTCACGTAGACCCTGTCCTGATTGGGGATTTGCCACTTTTTACCCGTTATCCATCGTTTCTTTGTAGACCTTGCCAAAACCACCCTCTCTAAGAAGCAAAACCTTGTCAAAGTTGTTAGTTGCCTCATTGATTTCTTTAAAGTGAAAAGCTTGCATGATCTGGAGATGGCTTTGGAGCTAGCCTTTGACCTGTAACTTTTCAAGTAATATGAAGTTACTGCAATGAGAACTCAAAAGGCTGCAGCACCAAAGATAGATCCTACTATTACTGATAACTTCACGGAAGCTCGTCCATCCAAGGTTCTGACTTCATTGATGATCTTCACTATCTCCAGCCCGTTCATAGTTGCATTTGTACTATTTAACATTCTATCGGGAGCAACAGTTACCGTCAAATTTGTTCCTCTTGTAGAGAAAACAAAATCAATGCAATGTCGCTGGAACATATGTAATCGAGGATCTAGAGAGTAAACTACACATACAACATCTATAAATAGATTGAAAATTTCCTGATTTCCTGGGTTGCTAATGATATCCCAGAAATGTGCCCGAACAAAATAATTATAGTTCAGATTTACGGTGAAGACCCAGCTTAGATTGGGGCTTCTAGCATCTGCCATTGCTTTGGCTGTAGCATAGACCCATTTTGGCGCCATGACAGGTGTAATTGATCCAGAAGTATCTTCTGTAGCTTTAGGATCTACTGCAATATTCAGCGCTCGACTATTGGAGGCCATATATTTTTCATCACTTTCCCAGTTCCGACCTAGGTTGTTGTTCTGAATGGTGAGGGATTCATCACTCACATCCAACTAGTAAACTGTTTCAAGGACAGATTTTGAAAGATGCAACAAATGAACTGACGTATTATTGATTGCATAAAAACCATGATCACCTGGTGTAGAGAAAACTTCAATTGCGTTAACAAACAAAAATGAGTCTGTAGAAGGGATGAAGGTGAGAGCCAAGGTGTGGGATTGTAATATTGATTGCAGGCTCCTTGAACAAGAGCCACCATACTCCATGAAACTGAAACCATTGAGAGGCAAAACACTATTAGTGACTACTGTTATTGAGGTAGAGGACATGTTCTGGTGAAAGTTGGGCAAAGGGGAGAAGTAAGGCGGATCCAGTGCTGGCCTGGTCGTATGATTCTGAAAATATATGAAGCATGGCCCCAGAAGATTCTAGCAGACTGGCAGATCGGAGACAAAGTACCAGAATCAGAGGTAACAGCAACAGGTTTCTGGCTTTTCAATTCTAATGTACCTTCTTTATCATAGACAGATTAATGATCAAAAGTTTTACCCTGAAAGTGTATGTGACTGGTTGAACCACAGGCAGGCAAGTAATTATCAACAAGTGTGAACGAGGAAGATGATTCATTCACTCATGCCTATAAGAAGAAAAGCCAAAGCAAACGGCATCTTCATGAATAGCTTCAGCTTGCCCATATCTGCTGTTTTGTGCGTAAGAAAATCAGTGAAAGTCGGAAAATAAAAGATAGATAATGTATTTCTTCGCGTTGCAGTAAAACAACTCCTTCATGACTTGTTTGTTCTTTAATTAGATTTCTCATTCATCGCGAAAAAAAGTAGTCTTGTTATTTGTAATCCACCTATAGGTTGAACCTAACTTTTGAATGGCGATTGACTTGGGTCAACTCCGCTAATCTGATGTAATCTTCCGTAGATCTTTTCAAATGCTTGTCATGTTTGGACTATAATTTCACAGTGAAAATTATTCACGGTTGAAAATTTGTTCATCAATAATCAATTATTTATTCTAGAGAGTCTATATTAAAAGCTTAATTAACTTCAACTACATTAAACAGCTATCCAAAAGGAGTTGTATATTAAGAATGAGTTTATATTTTTTAAGACAAAAACAACTACATGCAGAAACGAGCCTGTCATATTACACGAGAGAATGAGCTTGAAACGAACATAATTTTTTGGAATAGCAAAGATGAAAATATTAAAATGGATATGTGGGCGTATACATTCAAATAAAATCTGAAATGAACATATGAAAAAAAATAGATGTGACGTCTATTGAGAAAAAAATGGTAGAAAAACATTTGAAAAAGTTTGGATGTGTACCGAAAAAAAATGCAAGAGGCACAGGCAAAGAGAATGTAACAGATAATCTTAAATCCGATAAAGAAAGGTAAAGGAAGATGAAAGAAAATACTAATGAAAGTTATTGAATGAGACTTGTAATTAACAATATTCTTAAAAGTTTGATTAATGATATTGTATGATAATATTGTGCAATCTATGCAGCCTATCCCACTTGATGGATGTTATTGCTGTGTTCTAGTAAAATGAACAACAAATCCTTGGGGGGAAATTCAAGAAGTTTGTAAATGCAGAATTTTTTGCCACATGATCTTTAGGTGACAAGGGTGTGGTGCGATCTCCATATAGATTAAGGGCTCAGCTTAAAAAAATAATAATAATAATAAATAAAGAAACCACCTTACCAATGGTCACCATATAGGTTCAGCCTTCAACGCGTCAAAATTTAAAATTTAAATATATATATCTCAGAAGTTGACTAAAGCAGAATGATAAGAATTCCAACTCAAATGAGGCATACCATAATTTGTCATGTTAATTTATTCCCATCATGTAAACAGAACAAGAGATTCAATTAAAAGAAAAGGAAGAGAACTTCTTAAAAAGCTATATGTAACTATTATCATTTTATCCATGCATCTATATCTGCATCTTGTTTTATATATAGCTATTATTATTATTATTCTATCTATATATCTTTATCTACATATTTTAGCAGCAAAGAAGTCATTACACTGAGAACGTGACTTCAAGCAACATCTTGTTCCTTCTCATCGTTGATTCCATTTTCTGCAACCACATCAATGGCACAGTGCACATAAACTTGCCAGAGAGGTGAAGCCAACTCTAGGTGGAGAGCGTCTTCTAGTTCAAACAGTACGTACCCCATTGGTGGCCTGTTTTTGCGACTCTCCTCTAAGCACTTCCAAGCCAGCTTACATACCTTGTTCAAGGAATCCAAGTTCACTTGCCCAATCAAAAAGGGGTCTATGATCTCTGGAAAGGTGCCCTTTTCTTGGAAGCTTGATGCCCATTTTGCCAAATTAATGTGTTCTGTAGGACGAGTGTCATCTAAAGCAGGCTTGCCACAAAGAACTTCCATCAGAACCATCCCAAATGAGAACACATCTGATTTCTCCGTGAGATATTTTGTTCTGAAATATTCCGGATCCAAGTAACCGAAGCTGCCCTTTACAAGGGTTGTTACATGGCTCTTGTCAAGGGGTGGGCCTTTTCTAGAGATGCCAAAATCAGCAAGTTTTGGAACAAAATTCTCATTCAAGAGAATATTTGCTGTCTTAACATCACGATGGATTATACTTCGAGCAGCCCCTGTGTGAAGGTAATGAAGACCCTTTGCAGTCCCAATGCATATTTCTAGTCGTTGCCTCCATGAAAGAGTAACAAAGTTTGTCCCATAGAGATGGCCACTTAAAGATCCATTTGCCAAGAGTTCATAGACTAGAATCATTTGCGAGTCTCCATTACAACAGCCTATTAGAGAGACAAGGTTCTGATGAGAGAGCTTGGATAGTAGTTCAATCTCATTCTGAAATTCTTGAAAACCTTGTCTTGAATGGGGATTGGCTACTTTGATCGCTACTTTTTTCCCAGTATCCATTGTTCCTTCGTAGACCTTGCCAAAGCCACCTTCTCCAAGAAGCAGACACTGGTCAAAGTTATTTGTTGCTTCACGGATTTCTTGTAAAGTGAAAAGCCTGCATGAAATCGGGGTAGTTCTGAAGCTCGCCTTGACCTATAAGCTTTTAAGTAATATAAAGCTACTGTAGTGAGAACTAGGAAAGCTACAGCACCGAAGATAGATTTAACTATAATTGATAATGTCCGTCGATCCAAGGTTCTAACTTGATTGATGACCTTCATTATCTCCAGCCCGTTCAGGATTGCGTTTGTACTATTTGCCGTTCTATCAGGAGCAACACTTACTCTCAAATTGTTTCCTCTTGTGGAGACAACAAAATCCAGGTAATGCGGCACAGAAAACTGACGAAATTTAGAGAGAAAGTCAACTCTTTTATAAGCAACATCATTTATGAATAGATTAAAATTTGTTATGTTTATGACATCACAGAAATGCACCCGGACAAAATACCTATAGTTTGGATTTGCAGGGAAGACCCAACTTAAATTGGGACTTCGTGCATCTGCTATGGCTTTGGCTGTAGCATAAACCCATTTTGGTGCTATGGCAGGTATGGTTGATTCGGAATTATCATGTATATAATAAGGATCAACTGAAATATCCAGTGCCCTAGTGTTGGAGGCCAAGTATGTTTCATCACCCTCCCAGTTCCGACCAAGGTAGTCATTCCGAGTGGCCAGAGATTTATAGCCCACATCCAACCGGTAAGCAGTCTCAAGGACCACTTCTGAATGATGCTCCAAAGAGAAATCATTGGGAACAGAGAGATTACTCAGTACAGAGACAACTTCAATTGCATTAACAAACACAAAAGAGTTTCCAGAAGGAATGAATGTGAGAGACAAGGTGGGAGATGGAATGTTGACTGCATACTCCTTGAACACGTATGAATGATCATACTCTGTGAAAGTGAAATCTTTGAGAAGCACTGCACTATCAGCTATTACTGTTATTGAGGCAGATGACAAGTTCTGGTGAGAGTTGGGAAAAGGATAGAAGAAAAGGCGGATCCAGTGCTGGCCTGGCTGTCGAATGCTGAAAATATATGAAGCACGGCCCCAAAAGATTCTAGCTGACTGGTAGATTGGAGATGGAGCACCAGAATCAGAGGTAACAGCAGCAGATTCCTGCTGGGTTTTCAATTCTAATGCATGTGTCTCAAAGACAGATTCACGGAAAAAAGTGCGACCCTGAAAGTGTATGTCAACAGGAGAACCACAAGCGAGCAAGTAATTATCAACGGGTAGGAATGAGGAAGATGATTCATCACCCATGCTTAGAAGAAAAGCCAAAGCAAGTGGCATCCACATGAACAGCTCCAGCATGCCCATATCTGCTGTGTTATCCCCAGAAGTCTGTTGCAATATTGCTGCACTAAGGCTGGTTGAAATCCAAATCCTAGAAGTGTTGAATACAACTCAAGCAATTGATGGTTCCAAGTATGCATGCTTAGTGTGTCATATATATTAACTATTACTCCACGCTACGTTGACAGAGTCTAGAAAAATATAATAGCCTTTTATTATTTAATGTATGAATATATATATATATATATATATCATAATGTAAACTTTCCTGGAAGCAATCATGTTTAAATCAATTCCCTTGCTCTTGGAATGAACCCATATTTTTTTATATGCTTGACTGGACATAATATTATAAGCCAGAGAAAACTTAGTAAAAAGTTGGTCAAAGCAAATCTCTAGAATCTGCTTAATCTCTCTTATGAGTTTATATAGTTGAAAGCTTCAAAGTTTTAGGACCTCTCTTATGCAGTGTGAGTGATTTTTCTTTCAACAACAAAGTTTAGGTGAAGTTGTTTAGTTGTTGATTATCAATTTTTTCAGTAGAAGTAAAGTATCATTTACACATTTAACACATAAGTTGGATATAATTTCTGTTAATGTTAAATTCAATGCAAGTATAGTTTGAGATTTAAGATTTCATTTTATTTTGGTCTGAAGTAAATTAAATATTTAACATTACTCATGAAAGTTGGAGAATTGAAGTGAGACCCTATATTACTCCTCTATTTTCGTGAACTACTGTGAAATAAGAAACAACCCATTCTTGCACCAAAATTTCATTGCCCTCTTTTAAGACGTGTGCTCATAAACTTTTGTGCTATATGGCTTAATTTTTAAGCTATTATCTTAGTGAAAATTAGTCAATGTCCACAACAAGGAGAGCAAAGGGAGAAAATCTTATCATCTTAGTCAAATTTAAATAATTCTTAGATCAAATTATCGCTGATTGAAAAACATTTAAAATCCTTCAATCAAAAGGGTCCATACATACTTATTCAGGTGAAAAAAAAAAGGGTCCATACTTTTAAGCATGCCATTTGATGAGTGCCTCTTTCCCTAGAACATAAAGTTCAACTCAATTTGTACAGGTTTTGAAATGGATAATTTGCGCAAATTTGTTTGGTGCCGCAGGACAATTTGTATAAGTAATTAATTGAACTGAATATAGCTGGAATTGAATTTATCATGACATCGCTTGTGATAGGATGAAACATGATTCGGTGAGTAAAATTCCTAGACATTGTTTAAAATTTTCCAATGTCTCCGTCCAAATTATTTATAAAAAAAATTAAAGTAAACCATACTTTTTTTCCAAATAAAATAGTCTTTTCAGTCCCTAATATAAGACATATTTTGAAAGTCTTTTTCCTAATATAATGTAAAATAAAAATAATTAATATTTTTTCTCTTATTTATTATTATTATTATTATTATTATTATTATTATTAGAATTCTTAGACAACAATTTATTATTTTTATTAATTGCAAAGAAGAACAAAAATAAAAAGTTACATTTTTAGCAATTTTAAAAATATAAATATTTCATACATTTTTTAATAAACGTAAAGTTGGTCAAGTTTGTAATAAAGAATAGAAGGCGTAACCCATATAGTTCTAACATTGAGTCATACTTTTGATATGATATATTAATATTGGTGATATGAAAACCATTTAGTATGATGGGGTGACAGCTTGCATGTTTGACAATTTAATTAAGTTCCTAAGTTAAAGGGAGAAAGACAATTAGGGATTTTTGAATAAATAAGTTGAAAATATCAACTCAGATAATTACAACTTCAAGAATTTTAATTATAAATATGTATTTAAATATTAAATATAAATTTCATATTGTAGGAGGAATTTCTATTTGTACACATTTAAATTTATATATACAACTTATTTTTTAAAAAATTTTATTGGGGATCTAACGGTTATTAATTCAAGCTTTTGGGTTATAGCTATCATTCTTCCTAAATTAAATAAGTTTGTCTGATATTTATGACTTTTGGTTTTTGCTGGCTGTGACACTTAAGAAAGTATAGAGGAAATTTTTATTAAAATGCTGCTCCTTTTTCCACTTGGTTAATAATTTTAATATAATTAGAATAAAGTATATCATCTTTGCCTCAGTTTTGGTTTAATTTAATGTAATATCTTTCTTGTTTTAAAATTACATAGTTTTGGCTCATTTTTACTTTATTGTTTCAATATGGGTTTTTTATTATTATTATTTTGTTACCCAAGATATTCCTATAGCTAAAAAGTTTGATTCTTAAATTTAAGGTTCATTAAAGGATTGTTTTCTTTTAAGAGATGTTTTTTCAGGGGCAAAAATAGCATCAATGTTAAGGGGGGCCAAAAATTTTTAATAGAAAATAAATTATATATAATTGAATAATATATGGAAAAAATTAAAAAAATGATAAAGTGAAATCATATATTCCTTCTTATCATATTTATAAATTATTTTCAATATATATTACAAAAATTTATAAAAATCTTAAAATTTATTAACTCTGTATAACCATTTAGTAAGCTTTCAATTTTGCTCTAATTAAATATACATGTTTTAATAAATAATTTTTCATTAATATTTAATGGGGGTAAAAGGATAAATTTACAATAAAAAGTCAATGATGTATCTTATAAATAAATACAAAAATTCTTCTCTTTTTTAAGTTAAAATAGGATCATTGAAAGTGCGTGTATTAATCACAAAAAATATGATGGACAATACCCTTATTAAAAATTTGCAGTTCCTAATTCTTATTATAAAGTTAAATGCATACCTTATTACCTTTGAAGTGCCACATCAACAATCAATGCTCCATAATTATGTAAACAGGGGAAGGGAAACCTGTAAATTATTATCTCTAATCAAACATCGTTACAATTTCCTACACACACTTTCTATGAAGTGGCGGAATTTTGGGGGTCATGGTTCCTCCAAGTATAACTTAGTTTTGTCATTGTGCTTTTAGAAATTGAATATTGAAATGATATTTAAGAGATGCAGACCACTAATATCAGTATTAAATTTGTTGTAATTAATTATTTTTTACTATGTATATTTTGATGTTATAGGTTAACATTATATCTCAATATTCATTTGATCTTTAATCTCTCAAACCCAATTTCCTCAATCTAAGTTCAACTTAAGAAAAATTACCAAAAAACTCAACCTAAGAAAAATTTCTTTCTATATATGTTTGTTTAAAGGATAATCTGTTATTTTCTATCTTGGTTAATAATTAGAATACATTTAAGATAAATTATCAAATTACACCTGTCTAGTTTTGAAATTGCACTTGCTTCATATGTTAATTGTGTCAATGAGGTTAATTACTTTTATTATTATATTAAGAAAGAAATTAGAGTCCTATATAGATATTAACATCAACTTAGCCCTAAATTTCTAAATCTAATTTAGTTCTTTTACCCCTATTTGATTCGGGGATTGGGGGATTTAGAGGCTACCTTTTTCTTTGTTTGAAAATTAAGAATGAAAATTGAAATGGACATTTTGCGTTTTTTTTTTTTTGCCTTAAGACAATTTGTATAATTAATTAAGTGAAGTGAATATAGCTGGGATAGAATGTACCCTCATTGACTTTACCAGAAAAAGGAAGAAAATTATTCAGTCTAGTCGGTGAGTAAAAAAATTCTAGACATGTGGAAAATTTGCAATGTCTCTTTCCAAATTATTTACAAAAAATTTGGGAAACATTTGGAGATATAATGAGGTATTTGTCGGCAAGTTTTTTTTTTGGGGGACAAATTTGTTGGAAAGTTTGACATGAGTTTCTCTTGAAGATGTGTCTACATTTAAATAATGTTTAGTAAATAAAAAAATATTTTTCAAAAAATGAGAAATATATCTAAGAAGAAAATAGAATAAGTATAAACTTTCACTTCTTTTTTTAAAAAAAGATACTTTTTTAGTATCAAATATTGTATTAGCATTTAATTATAACTCGAACATGATTGTTTTTATTAAGAAAAAATTGCATGCTAAAAAAGTTTGGAGAATATTTGGACTTTGACTTCTTTGCGAGTTATGACAATCAAGGAAGGTTAGAAAAGTATTGTGTCATTTCTTAAATGATTAATAATCTTTATATACATTCTTAGAACAACATTGTGCCATTTTCTAAATTGATTAATAGATTTAATATCTTTATAATATAGTGTTTACACAAATTCAAACTTTAGGATTAATGTTTAAGTGGCGACTGTTAGGTTGCATTTGGATTGATAGATTTAAGTTAGAAATTTTAATTTAAAATCTCATATTTGAAAGCTTACATTTAAAATTCATGGATTCTAAATTCTTTATTTAGATTATATAAAAATTTTAAAGTATAATATTAAAATTTTTATTTAGATCTACAGTAAAATTTCAAATTGTAAATTCTATATTTAAATTTAAAAGAAACTTGGATGACTGGTCAAAGTCAAAGGTCTGAATGGCCAACTTTTACTTGGATCAAACTGTCAAAGCCGAATGGGATTATAGCACCGGTGACAATTGAGATGGGATGACCAACTTTTACGGGGACTAAACCAACGACGACCATTAGGACGGGACGATCAACTTTCATCGAGACAAGATCGATAGTGACCACCAGGATTGTGCCATCAGTCTAGTCTTATGGAAGTCGGTTGTCCAATCCCAGTTGTTGCCGTCGGTTCAATTTTAGTAAAAGTCTGCCGTCAGGTCCTAGTTGTCACCGTCTGTCTAGTTCTTGTGGAAGCCAATCATCTGGTCACCATCATCATTGTTGATCCATTCCCAGTGGAAGGCAGCCATTCGATCCTTGTCGTCACCGTTAGTCCAGTCCCGATGGAAGTATGTAGTCTAGTCCTGGTAGAAGTATGCCATCTAATCTCGATTGTTGCTGTCTGTCCAGTCCTTATGGAAGTTAGCTGTCAAGTCCCTGTCATTATGGTCGAGCTAGTCCTGGTGGAAGGCAGCCGTTCGATTGCTGTTATCACTATTGATCCTATCTTAGTAGCGGCCGCCT